AAGATGCTAGGGGAAGCTGATTACAAGTTCTTCAATAAATAGATTTGGTAACACGATTAAATATTCAGTATTTGCTGGTAACTAATATGTGGTTATCATATCAAATATTAGCACTATAAGATGCTAGGGGAAACTGAATACAAGATCACTAGATTTGGTGTCACGATTAAATATTCAGTATTTGCTGGTATCTAGATTTGGCGTCATTGGTTAAAGATTCAGTATTTGCTGGTATTTAATATGCACTTATTATATTCAATATAAGCACTATGAGATGCCGGGAGAATCTGAATACAAGATCACCAGTATTTAGATTGGGTGTCACGATGAAATATTCAGTGTTTTATGGTATTTAATATGGTCTTATTATATAAAATATTAGCAGAATAAGATGCTAGGAGAAACTGAACACAAAGTCGTCAGTATTTAGATTGGGTGTAACGATTAAATATTCAGTATTTTGTAATTTTGTATTGTTTGAGATAGAAACCTCATTTATTTATATTTTTTTTTAAAATTTTGAGTGTTGCCTGTACCATAACAAGATCCTCGGTATTTAGATTCAGTATTTTGTATTGTTTGAGATAGAAACCTCATTTATTTATTTTTTTTAATTTTTTAGTGTAGCCTGTGTCATAACAGGCCCGAGACTGTACAGTGCAGTGGACGCTTACGGATAGCGGCCCCGGATCCATTCATTTAATCTGATATGCACGTTTGTTTGTGCTTTCTGCGTACCGTTTCTTGTCCGTGGATTTGTTTTGTGTAATTTGTGTGTGGTGCAGCCCCCTGCACTTACTATTATTAAATTCATTTTGTGAAATGGGGCTTGCGACCATACGTAATCTTTTGCGGACATTTAAAAATGTTTAATTCCAAATCCACCCTAGTTTACAGAATTTACTTACATTAGTTTGAATCTTAATGATATTTTTTAAAAAATTAATCATAAAAGTTGTGAATAATTTCGCGTTTGTCGTAATGCTATGGAAGGGTTGAGTATTGATTTTGATATTACATCGAGTGATCGAGGTAGGACTATAGGTCTAATAAACTGAAAACTTTGAAAGTATTATGCTATACGATAGACTTACCTCAAAGCAAGATAATGACAATGGATGATAATCTTCTAAATTCACAAGATAGAATTAGAAAGTATTTTTCGCTCAGATTAACGACGTGTGGCTTTCCAGTAGAGATATCTATAGGAAATAATAATTGTTACGTCACCCAATTATACTGCGTTGAAATAATAGTATAACGTCATGCGACATTTTTCAAGAAAATATATTATGACTGTTCATCAATTGATGAGACTGCTCTTAAATGTAAACAAAAAATATGATTAAAGACTTAAATTGGTTAGAAATAATAATATTGAGATACTTCCGTAATTTACATAAAGTTTGTGTAAGTAAAAAACAAACAAGAACATATTACACATAAAATACGCTAAATGTGCTTTTAGGCTATAATCTAAATTAAAAAAATCAGGCTATATATAGAAGATTAGACAATTACCGGCAGTGAAATGAAATGAAATGGGGTTTGACGTCCTACATTTCTACTCTATCCGGGTAAATGAGGACTGGAAACAAATGAAGACGAAGTCCACGACAATCAAACGTGATGGTCAAATAAAAGAAAAAATCACCTCGACCATGCCGTTTCCATTTTATAGTCTCCCATTCGTAGATTTCAAATAGATCCATGAATAACATATATATTACTAACAACAAAGTACCAGTTGAAAACCCCAGCCCAAACAAAAAGGATTGTTTACATTGGAGAGCCCACTGCAGGACCGGATTAAGCTTGCATGGGACCCCTCGTTGAATAATTATGTTACGGGCCCTTGCATCAACAGTGAATAGGATTCTGATCATTGTCCGTATATACAACATAATAAATGACATTTATATACGGTATAATTTTTTTTTTAAGTTGCAATTTCATATTTTTAAGTTATATGTTTAAAATTTATTAAAAGAAAGCCTTAAAATAGATGGTATCTATAAACTGTCCTATCTTTTTAAAGAATAATCCTATAATTCACTATTGCCAGTTGAGAAGTTGGCAAAATATCATTTTCAACTTCAAATAATGCCTATGATCGTATAATAGTGAGTTGATAACCTATTGGGCAAAAGACATAGAAATAATTATGTTTTGACTTGCGATTCAAAAAAATTGTTGAAAACTATTATAATAAAGGTGTAGATAGGTGTCTATCATGACCATCATTAATGATTTGCGACAAAACACTCAGGGGCCATAATTCAGGAAGTTACGATCCAATATGCGCGAATATCGAAAGGAACCAAGATCTTTGGGGTATAAACATTCATTTCAAGTTTCATCAAAATCAGATGAAAATTGTGACCTCTTAGAATGTCCCCAAGCTAAAAACGTAATTTTTCATACAATCAGGGGCCATAATCCACGAAGTTATGGTCCAAAACATGCCAATATCGAAAGGAACGGAGATCTCTGGGAGATAGACCTAGATTTCAAGTTTTGTCAAAATCGGATAAAAATTGGGACCTGTAGTGTCCACAAATTGTGGACGGACAGGGGCGACGACAATATACGTTCAAATGAAAATGTGGGCGAATAAAAATGAAATTTACTCGTTTCTGAGCGAAGGTATCGGGCTTTCAAATGTTCACGGTAGAGTCTCGATTGTCAAGTAACATTGATACAAGAAAGTCTCGATTATCCAATTTTAAATTCAAAGGCGATCATCTTTCAATCCATTGAAAATCACGACCATCTGATTTAAATGTCTAATAATTTACAGAACATTTGAGGACAAGAGACCTGCAATAGGCAGATTAAGCTCTTTATAATGTATCTTTAATTACCCATGTCTTTTTTCTTTTGCGGGATTGTAAAAACTGAATTTTTACAATCCCGCAAAAGAAAAGATAGGTTGCCAAAAGATAGCAGCTAAATCGTCCGGCAGTCAACAAGTGTTGTCGCATATTTTACTTCTTTCGGTAATGAAACATTTATAATTCACTAAAATCTGATTAAGAGTAACAACTCATTAAGTAATTATCAGAAAACCATTAGAATTTGTTTGGTTTACCTTTAAAGCTTATAGATAAATTACAAAAGTACAGAATACTGTAGCTAGACTTGTTACTTTAACTAAGAAATGTGACCATATACATGTAACTCCTGTTTTATATAATTTACACTAGTTACCTGTTAAATATCAAATTGATTTTAAGATTTTATTACTTTTAAATGTTTAAATAATTTAGCTCCTGTTTACCTCTCAGATCTTTTAGAACTTTATACACCTGGCCGAACATTACTTACATCAGATAAACTACTTTTAAAGCCCAAAACTGTTCAACTAGTCTCTTATGGTCAGCGCTTTTTTAGTTATCAAGCACCTGTTTTATGGAATAATCTACCATTTAGTTTAAGATGTTGTACATCTCTAAATTCTTTAAAAAAAACCAACTTAAAACACATTTATTTAATCAGGCTTTTAACTGAATCTGTATACAATCGTTAACATGTCCATAATCTTGTTGTTTATTTATAATTACATTGTCACTTTGTAAAGTGCCCCTGAACATGTTAATATTACATGCTGTAATATTAATAATAATAAATCACTGAAAACGAATAGACTTCTGTCTCATGACCTTAAACACTGTGTATAAATTTAAAGTCAATCGGATATTTACTTTGGCCTGTAGAGCGTCCACAAAATTTTTTGGAGTGATCAAGGGCCATCACTCTTGCAGTAATTATCGGAAATCGCTGAAAATCAACAGGCTTCTTCGCTTCATGACCTTAAACACTGTGTATAAATTTAAATGCTATCGGATATTAACTTTAGCCTCTACAGCGTCCACAAGATTTTTTGAAGTGGTCAAGGGCCATAACTCTGGCAGTAATTATCGGAAATCGCTGAAAATCAATAGGCTTCTTCGTTTCATGGCCTTAAACACTGTATATAAATTTCAAGTCAATCGGATATTAACTTTAGCCCCTAGAGCGTCCACAAGCAAACATCAACAGAGTTGTTATGTTCCAAGGTCTTGACCAATCAAATTGCTTATTGCTCCTTAGCCTAAGCAGAAAATTCGTACCATCGAACTTAGTCAAACATTATTCGGGGTTTCATCGCTCTCACTTCATTATAACCAAAGTTATCGTGTCCCAAAGCATCAACTAATCAAATTGCTCATCTCTGCTTACCCCAAGCAGAAAATTCTCATCTTCGAACTCCAAGGAATTCACCTAATAGACACTTACGCCAAGTGTGAACATTCTAACTTAATTAGAATGAGAGTTATTGTGTTCTAGAGTCTTACCAATCAAATTGTTTATCGGTCTGCTTACCCTCGGCAAAGAATGTTCATTATCGAACTTAGTCAAGGTATTGATGTAATAAAGCTATAAACCAAGTGTCTCTCTCTCACTTAATTAGAACTAAAGTTATCGTGTCCCAATGCATCAACTAATCAAATTGCTTATCTCTGCTTACCCTAAGCAGTAAATGCTCATCTTCGAACTCCATCAAGGCATTGACCTAATAAACACCTACACCATGTTTGAACATTCTAGCTCAATTAGAAAGTTATTGTGTTCCCAAGTCTTGGTCAGTCAAATTGCTTATTGCTCTGCTTACCCCGAGCAGAAAATGCTCATTATCGAACTTAGTCAAGGTATTGATGTTATGAAACTGTAGTTTCATCACTCTCACTTAATTAGAACTAAAGTTATCGTGTCCCAGAGTATCAACCAATCAAAGTGCTTATCTCTGCTTACCCTAAGCAGAAAATGCTAATCTTCGAACTCCAAGGTATTGACCTAATAAACACCTACACCAGGTTTGAACATTTTATCTCAATTAGAAAGAGTTATTGTGTCCCAAAAAGTGTGACAGACAGGGACGTACAGACAAACCCATTTTAATAGTCCGCGGCTGGCGGCTTTCTTCGAAAGGTGGGGGCCAAAAAAAAAACAACACGGAATACTCTTCCAATATTTTATTTACTTTATTTTTCTCTTATTTTCAGCGTGCAGTAAGAGATACCTGCCACACTCTGATTACTTTATCAGAGTAACCAGCAAATAAAGTTTGTCCATCTGGAGACCAGGCTAATGATAGACATTGGGGAACACCACCTTGACCAGATATTAATTCTGGCTTCAATTCATCAACGATGATCTTTCCTTCGAGATCCTGCAAAATTAAATTTTTGGGACAAATTTGATACAAATGAATAAAACATGAGTACAAATACAAACTTATAGCCGAAATGTTGCTAATTCCTTTTTTTATTTTTATGTTTTATGCAGAATAAAGACAAAGCAGCAAAAACAAAACGTCCATGGACACAATTCAAGAGAGATAACTACAATAAACATACCCAGATTTTGATGGAAGGACCGGTAGCAGCACAGAGCCAGTATCGGTTTGGACTGAAGGTCATAGTGTTGATACAATCACCACCATCCAATGTGTACAAATGTTTTCCTTCATTAAGATCCCACAACATAGCTTGAGAATCCTATAAGAAAAAATTATTAATCCAATTATGTTATATAAGGCTACACAAAATAAATGTCTTGTTTCTCGGGCAACTGACAGCTGAAACTGTAGGGGGGGAGGGCGGTTTATTTTTTTTTTTACCTCATTTCTGGCTAGAGGATGGTGCAAAATAAAATTTGCCTATTGTTGAAAATTGTTGGGGCGGGAGGGCGGCCTTGTATTTTTTTTTTTTAATGAGAAAGTCATTACTTGTCTACGGTTTTGCTTTCAGTTATATATTGTACATACTTAGAACATAAACCCAAAAATCAAGTCAACTCAAACACTGAACACTGACTGAAAGGAAAATAATTTTCCATATTTAATTCACGTAATGTAGCTTACTAACGGTAATGGTGACAAACATAATTGAAATTGGTTTAAAATAAAATTCCGTACGACTATTAATAACCGTCCATAATAACGACAATATTTTAAAGAGTAAGCCTCTGTCAGCATGTGTATCAAAAATAATCATCACGGTAAACGACACTTCGATCTAAATCTAGTATCGCTGGTTTATAATGATTGACCTAATTCCAACCAATGCATGTCACGTGTCATCGGGATTCGGGAATAAATGTGTTTCTCAGGATATTCGGTGTTCTATCTGGGGTTTATATCGAATGACTATTTAAATTTAACTAACAACTCGTCAGTAACACCATCAAATGTGTAATCCAATTATTATTTTCCGGATTATCAAAACTACCGTTAAATGTGCTAATGACCCAGATTCTGACTAAGGTATGGTGACTATCATCGTATCGTATTCGTAGCCACAAGTTATAATAATTAACCTGTTCTACGATTCATTGTTTTATACGTAGGATTTTTTCAAACATGGACCGACTGAAGCCGGCAATAATGAGCCGATTAAGATCGAATGATTGAAATACATTGCATTGTTGTCAATGACTTTCGATGTTTAACACGAATCAAATTCTAGTTCACAAGGGGAGGTAATTAAAATCACGTGATACAAAAATGGAGGTTCTTTCGATATAAATAAAAAAGACCCGTACATCTGAATCAGTTTAATACATTTGAATGGATATTCACGTATGGGGCATGTAGATACATGCGGCATATTCTTTTTATGACTTGCTTATCGATGTTCGGGCGGGCGTTACATATTTTTTATTTTTCATCAAGACTAATAAATAGGCTGCACGCGCAACCAATTTTGCGTGCGGGTGGTGCCCGAGAAACAACTTATTTTATTTGTGTTGCCTAAGCTATTAATTAGACATTTATTAACATGAACGGACCATAATCAACTCTCGATGCCATCTTATGTGTCAGACTTTTACTGGATTTGAATCCGATTTGCTGCTCAATGCTCATTGATGATTTAATCCAAAAATGGATAAACGAGACTATGTTTTTTATTGTACCGACTTTAGTAATGATGACCGAGGCTAGGCCTAAAATTCAAACATTAATATCTTGGTTCAGATTGGAGCAATTTCACTAAAATTTTCAGCATATTCCCTTTACATTATCTAGTTTTTAACTATTATAGTGAGAACTGTCAGCTTTTTATCTAATCGTCCATAGTGCCCCTTTAATTAAATGATAGGTTGCCAGGCAACGAAACATACGCCCACAGCAGCTAAATCGTCTGAGCGGTCGACAAGGGTTGTCACATATTTATTCCTTTGTAGGTAATTGGGGGCCTTTACAAGACAGTTCCATACAGGTCAGATTATAATTTTTGCCGTTTGCGGGTTCACAAGGGTCTACAAACTGAAACAAGGGCCTGAACTCTGGAAGTAATCTACAGACCTTGTTAAAATTTGACAGGCTTTTTCGTTTAACTTATTTAAATAATACATATAAATTTCATACAGATCAGATGATCACGTTTGTCATTCAAACATTCACAAGGTTCACAACCGCCATAACTCTAGAAATTATTGACGGAAATTGCTGAAATTCAATAGACCTCTGTTTCACAAATTGAAATGATGCATATAAATTTCATACATATCGGATGATAACTTTCATCAACGAGCATTAACAAAGTTGAACAAAGTTAAACAAGGGCAATAAATCTAGAAGTAATAAACGGAAATTGCTGAAATTCAATAGGATTCTTCTCTTTACTAATTTAAATGATGCATGTAAATTTCATACAGATCGGCAGATAACTTTTGGTGTTAGAGCGTTCACAAGGTTCAATAAAGTGAAACAAGGGCCATAACTCTAGACATAATAATCAGAAATTGCTGAAATTCAATAAGCTTCTTCGTTTCACTCATTAAAATAATACATATAAATTTCAGAAAGATCGGATTATAACTTTTGGCGTTAGAGCGTTCACAAGGTTCAATAAAGTGAACCAAGGGCTATAACTCTAGACGTAATGAACAGAAATTATTGAAATTAAATAGACTTGGGTGATAACTTTTGGCATTAGAACGTTCACAAGGTTCAATAAAGTGAAACAAGGGCCATAACTCTAGACATAATAAACAGAAATTGCTGAAATTCAATAGGCTTCTTTGTTTCATTAATTTAAATAATGCATATAAATTTCAGAAAGATAGGATGATAACTTTGGCGTTAGAGCATTCACAAGAAATTGTGGACGATGGACGGACGGACAGACGGCAATATACGTCCACCATTTCTATGTGGGCATATAAAAAAACAAAACATAAAATTGCTTGAGCTAGAACAGAAGATTAAAATATTTAAATGTAATTAATGTCTTTTTGTAATGCGTCTGGATTCACAAACCATGTCAAAAGCCCCCTGAACTAAATTTAATATCCAAGGGTTTATACACCACTGTTTACGCAAATATTTAATAAGTTGAACTAAAGCTTTGAGATATAAATTGTTTTATTTCTTGTTCTCTTTTTATTTATCACTCAAAGATACTAGCAAGTTTTCTTCTTTTCCAATAGCAGACGGACAAAAAATGTTCATTCTTGTTCACATCCCTCCCCAACAATCCTAAAAATAGGACCTCTAAATCTTTTGGATACATTACACCTGTTTAAATCCATTTTGTTCAAATAACAATTTCCACTGAATACATGAATAAGACCGAGATAAATAAAACTATGTAAAATACTCACTTTTCCTCCTGAGGCACAAAGTGAACCATCAGGTGATACAGTAACAACATTCAAAAATTGTTTATGTCCATAGTGGTTAGTTTTCAACTTACAGTTGGTCAAATTCCATACCTGAAATACAAATAACCAAAATAATCAAATCATGTCTAAGTTAAAGCAAATTCTTGGAAAAATCAATAGATCTTTTTTCTTCCCATGAACAGAACTACTCGTCCGGTATGCAATATATTTTGTTCACAAATGTCTTATAAAAATATCAGCCACAAACCATTCTTTATTGTCATTTTATATGGCTAATGTTTACTAGTCAGTTCATCATACAGAAGTCATTAACTTTGAACATTCTACCTCAATTAGAAGAGAAGTTCTTGTGTTCCAAAAGGTGTAATGGACAACAAATGAACGGACAACCAATTTTAAGTCTCCCTGCTTTCAAAATGTGGTTCGAGAGTGGTAAGAATAGTGCATAAAAAAACAAACTGTTTACCTTAACAACTCGATCCCATCCAGAGGACACAATTATTGGGTTGTTGGAGTTGGGAGAAAATCGGACACATGAAACCCAATCTTTGTGAGTATCTTCCTGAAAATACAACATATTACAAATGACATCAGACATGGTATAAAGAATGAATCTAACCAGGAACATTATCTTGTCACTATGGATACATGGACAAAAGTGATTTTGGAAGAAATAAGAGATCTATCAACACAAAGAAATAATTGTATTTTTTCACACAACTTACAGGCTCAATTTCAAGTATTTTGGAGATCTATTCCCCTAGCCTTTTTTAAGAGATTTTAATATTTTTACCATGAGTGGACAATGAAAATGGAGCCACTGAATTATTTTGTTTGTTCTCTTGGGGGGAGGGGGGAAGGTGGGGGGGGGGGGAGAGAGAGAGAGAGAGAGGGGGGGGGGGGTGAATCGTTGATAAATTTAAAGACTAAAAATATGGTCAAGGTAAACCTACTGGAATTTTAAGTTAAAGTTATATTTTTACCTGGATGGTGTATTTACATACTCCAAGGGTATTCCATAATTTAATTGTCTTGTCTCTGGAAGCTGAAACAATCTGCCTGTTATCAGCAGAAAAAGCTACACTAAGAACATCCTTCTCGTGCCCAACGAATCTTCGAGTAGTTTTACCCCTGTAATAAATACACCATGATATAATAATATCGAACATATATAAATAGGAACAATAACAGTAAAGCAGAAGAAATCAATAGAGAGGACTTATTGACAGGCTATTCTAATCAAGTCGCATGCCACACCTTAATCCCAACAGGATTAATTACCCATTCGATGTAGCTTGTGGGGTTTGTAGCACGCATAATTCATTGATTCATATTGTTAGTACAGTTTGCTGTGTGTAGTAAAACAGCAAAACGCAATTTATTGTGATCAAACATTGTTTTGGAATTTATACAACCCCCTCATTTTTTTTTTAAACAAGGTGAGTAAGAGTACATGTAATATTTCAACATTTCTTTATTATGACTTGACCAGGGTATATGATAAAATAAAAAAAGGGTTAGCAATTATTGGATGTTTAAAAAAAGTGCTAATCAATCTGAAAATTGATTAGCAGTTCCTCTTGATGGAATAGCAAATAAGTAAATTATCATGGTATTGTATTGAATGATCTCTAATGGCCATAATTTCTACCGGTATATAACTAATGTTTATGTGTGTATGGGCGACTTTCATTCCCTTAAACTACGAATAGCTTTATGTTCTGTAGCATATCGTGTTTTGAATACAAATGTGATGGCATAACGGGGTGCCAGATGAGAAAATGTGGTCAATTCTTATGAAGGGAAAAGGTTACAGAGAAAAGTTATTGTTTTGTAAAATAATTATTGAGCTTGAATATTTACGGGATTATCAAATTTAACGTTTGTAATTTGTACTAATTACTTACGATTGTTAACTGAATGACTGTTAAAAGGTTAGCTTACAATTAGTTTATTGACTAATCTTTGACTACTTTTAATCTAGTCAACCGACATCAAGGGGATTAAAATGTCCATACGCAGTGGAACGATAAATCACGCTTAATATGGGACAAGAAACTTGATTTGCAGACTCCCTTAAATTTGATAACTTTCTGCTAATCAAATTAATATTTGATTCGCACCTATATCGTTTAGCAGCTGTGATGGGATACCCCTTATATTCCCTGGACTTGACCCTTTAAGAGTTTTGACATGTTAATTTTAATTATCCAGGGTTCTATGAAAAAATTATAGAAAAATATTGCAAATTCCAAAACAGATTGACCACCCACTTCATTGAAATAGTTCTCTGTATACTAGTTCTTGGGACACTACTGCTGTTCATGCGACCATGGCAGTTTAGAGTGCTCCATGGAGCACTAGAAGTAAAGGGTTAAAAAAATAAGGGTAATAAGTTTATATCGATGTATCAGTATACATTATATGTATATTCATATTTAATATAAGTAGCTCAAAACTTACTCCATAAGATCCCACAATCTCAGTTCAGAATCCCATGATGCAGAAAGAGCAAACTGACCATCTGATGACAAGACAACATCACTTACAAAGTGACTATGTCCAATCAAGCTTTTTTGTGGAATACCATAGTTGGTCTCATCTTTAGTTAGTTTCCATAAAATAAGGGTTTTGTCTGAAATAAATAATTAAATTATATAGGCTAATGCCTTAAAGGATCTCACAGTATTATTACTTCAGTGTCTTTAGACAGTGTGCTATGAGGGAAATTTTGCCCAGACAGCGGCACTACAGCCTACTCTTATATCAAATTCCAACTGACAAGGGATCTTTTGCAAGCACTACAACAATGTGTATACAGGACCTCGGTTTTACAACACATCCAAAAAACCAGACAGCTGTCCTTGTCAGGCCCTCCGTGCTGAAAAATCTGGATGAACTTTCTCGGCCAATGCAGGGATTGAACACCCAAACTTTAAAAAATGAAACGAAATAGTATCTGTGTCTGGTGGAAGTGGACGTAAAACTCCAGAAACGAACGAAAGGATCTGTGTTTTAATCAGATTGGTGGGTTTCTGTAAGCTAAAAGTTTCTGCAACAGTCATGTTTTAATCAATCAAAAATTTCATGACCTTAAATTGATGTGGGTTTCATGGAATGGATTAAATAATTTATTATGACAGATTTTTGCTTCACAAATATGTGGTCAGATCTGTTGTAACAAGATGGGTTGATTTGAAACAAAGACTGTACGCCTCACCAGTACTTACTGGTCCATGTCCATAAATCTTCAGGTGTATGTAGGCCGAGGCCATTTCATTTAGCTGGTCTGTGTTAACTACTGACTAAGCCTAGTACTAACTTAGTGTAATAAATATCAAATTGAAGGAATCAAAACCGATTATTTTCCTGTCGTTTCCTTGTAGTAAATTCAGTCTTGTCTGACAGATGGTACCACTAGACGATTATGTACATTTTTCATTATTACTTATTGGGTATGTGTAATTTAAGGAACCTAGCGATTGAGCTTGACTAAGAAACATAAACATGTGAAAAGGATAGTCACCTCTTGATGCAGACAGTAATGTATCGGGAAACCCTGGGTTTGTAGCGATTTGGGTAACCCATCCACCGTGCCCGGTGAGAGTACCCCTCAATGTCATCTGTTCTTGAGCCATGATGATATTAGTTTTTGAGGATTAAGATGGGTTTCTCTATCCCCTGGTATTTATCGCAGCCATCGATGTGGCTTCAAACCGGAAAAGGCCGATCATGACCCGGAAGCTGAATATCTGGGTCATCGATAGAGGGCGCAACTGTTTGTATAGTTTTGCCGGTAAGGTAACTATTATTGATTACTTAATTCTAATATTGGACAATGATTGCGGATATTTAACATTTATATTCATTTTTATACATTTTCACACTTCCTTTTACAGCTTTACAAACTTCTGGCAGTATAAAATCGCCCACATAAGGCAGGAAACTTGTAGAAAATTTGTATGTGCATGTTCTTATGACGTCATAGAATTTAGCAAGTATATCGGCGGCCATTTTACATTCAAAGTGTTAAATTGGTCTGCGCTGTCGTGTAGGTATTTCGTTATTTTTATGTTTCCGCCGATAAAATAGAAACACCATTTTTCATTAACAGGAATAAGCAATAGAAAATAGTCGTCCTGATGATGGTGGAAGATCGAACAGCTGCTAAGGAGCTGGATCAATGGATCGAACAATTGAACGAATGCAAGCAACTATCAGAAAATCAAGTAAAAATCCTCTGCGAAAAGGTAAGAAACAGAGCATATTAGAATAACCGCATTAGTGCACCCGATACCCATGTTTATAAATCTTGTTTGCTGGAATAAATCCCCAGGCAGCCACCTTCGATGGAAAACATGCGTTGGCATTTTCCTTTTCTTTTTTTTTTTTTGATGGGTTGGCGTTTGACAGATGAATGATGACTGAACAGGGAAACCACACATCAGTCCATGGTTCTATTATGGACCGTGTAGAAAAATGGACAGGCAATGTCCACGAAGCCTTTAGAATTCTATGCCGCAGCAAAAAATAGACTGGATAACAGTGACTGAAATAAATTTACCTCCCCGCTAGGCCTACTCCTTTTTGTTTTTTTGCAAACCATACAAGATAGACTACTAGGCTTACTGATGATTGGGGTGTAAATGTATCAACACATCGTTTTTGTTTACTTCGGACGCGCCCATGTGAATCCGAAACAAAAATGTTGAGTTTTCCTTAAAAACAACCCCACTAAAACAGTAAAATAACTCCATTCAATTTTTTACTTAAGAACTGCACAATTGATCATCATTCCGGACAGTATTATACCTGAACTTTATTTTCATAATTTTAAAATCCTTCACACATGCGGGAATTTGGAGTATTAAGCAAAACCAAAATGCTTACAAAAACTACAAAAATATTGAAATCGATCATTTCACAATTTTCAACTATTTGGAAATTTCAATGTTCTAAACTGGAGAAATTTGTCACTACTGGATAGGAATACTTATTAGGTTGAAAAATTACCATGTAACTATAAGAATATCGTAAATTCTAAGGAGGAGTTTGAGAAATAAATCTGTATAAAATCCTGCAATGTCAAAAATCACATCGCTTGATTTGCCGATGACATTGAGATCTTGTTGTGTCTCATGCTGGCGGCAGAGAAACCAACCAACGGGACACATTGCCTGTCCATCTATATACAGTCCATGGTTCTTTAGATTGTTTGAGTTTGGCAACAAAAATATTAACTGAAGACAATGACATTTGAGATTATTTCGCAAACAATTGATCGTAAACTTTTACTAAATTTTATTCAAAATGAATATATGTATATCACTGATTACATGGATACTCGTAAATATTAATCCGTACTGTTGTTACATGGTAAAACTGCTCATTCCCAACTGTGGTGTTGAAAATCTTTTAAAATTGAAAGGTCTGTATCGGGATAAATAAAACAAAGGTATTTTGTTAAAATTATATTACTGAATGACTTCTACTTTATGGTTTCCAATGATATTTAGACAACTAGTCACATTAATGACTTTGTATTTTTGTCTTTTCCATTACGTCTTTACTGTCAACATGGACTTTTAATACTTTTATATAGTAACCGAAAAGACATTCTTACAAAGTTTTGTTTTACATTCTTGTTATTTTAAGAGTCCAGCTTGGCTATTATGTATATATACTTCCTCTTGAGTTATAAATCTATAGAATACAGTCGAAATTTCGTTAAAAATTCATAATTTTAACTGTTCAAAATTTGTCGGGTTAATTATTGAATGGGACATTTCATTATGATTTATCACATGAATTACATTGCCTGATGGCATCACAAAAATCGTTGTGATGACTGATTCATGTTAAGTTCTAGATTTATACATTAGATTTCATGTTTGAAATAAGATCTAAACATGCAAACTTAGTTTTTGTGCATTGTACATTTTGAATTTGAATATGATTATTGTCTGTATTTATTCATACAAATGTCTTTAGTGTATTCTACTTTTCTAGTGTTGCTCAATAGTCAGAATCATTTACAATCTATCATATTACAAATAAAATCATTTCCTATATATAAGCTTATAACTTATTGTAAAAGATGAGTGACACAAGGTCATTGAGCTTTACCTATTTATTACAATGATAATGGTGCTGTGACAAGACGGGCAAATTTCCTCTAAGGTTTAAAGTTAAAGTCGTTTTTGTGCACGAAAACTGTGGATCAGATGGTCTAATTAAACCAAATCTTGGTTTGTAGATTTATAAATTAAATACATAAAAAAGTTAAAAATTAACTGCATGCTGATATATTTTTACATTGTAGGCAAAGGACATCTTATCTAAAGAGTCCAATGTTCAAGAAGTAAAATGTCCTGTTACAGTATGTGGAGATGTTCATGGACAGTTCCATGATTTGATGGAATTGTTTAGAATTGGTGGCAAATCTCCAGATACCAATTATTTATTTATGGGTGATTATGTAGATAGAGGTTATTATTCAGTAGAAACAGTGTCACTTCTAGTCGCTCTAAAGGTATGAAAATATAATATAGATTGATTTGTAGTACCTCTTCATTGAATTAAAAAATACATAGATTAGTCTACATTTTCAGGTCTTAAAATACTTTAAGTTTTATCCAAATATATCACTAGAAATAATTTTGAGATTTATTCTCTAATGTACATGTACCTACATTATCTACATGTATACTGTATCACAAAGGTTTAGATTTGTCTATTTGATACAACCACAAGATGTATTAGGATATCAATAAAAAAAATCGAATAAAGACAAATCCATTCCATGAAAATAAGCCATCAGAAGAATTGTGTTTCTTCTTAACAAATTACAATTTTGTTTTCACCTTTGCAGTTTTTTAATTTGATCTCAAACTATCATCCAGAAATTAATGGTGCCATGCCCTGTGATTAATTATTGCCAATTTATGTTCATTAAGATAATACACTGAATTGACCTACTTTCATATTTAATGTAATATATTGAAAATACATAGTATAATGATGATAAAATGTTTTTTTTTTTTTTCAGGTTAGGTATAAGGATAGAATAACAATACTTAGAGGAAATCATGAAAGCAGACAAATTACACAAGTTTACGGCTTCTATGATGAATGTTTACGGAAATATGGCAATGCTAATGTATGGAAATATTTTACAGATTTGTTTGATTATCTTCCTTTAACTGCTCTTGTAGATCAACAGGTAGGTTAAAACATTCAATATTCAGAATGAGAATCTGTCTTGACACATGCTTCATGATGAAATAAAAATAATTTGTAACTTTCCATTGAAACTAATGAGATCACCTACCTACAGGGAAATTGACCTTTGCATCAATGTGAGCACCTGCTTTCATATGTACTTGATTTCAAACAGGAAGTCAAGTGGTCTAATAGAATAGAAATAGGTTCGCTTTTACATTAGATCATTAGGGTTAGGCATTGAGTCAAGTGGTTTGGTTTCGAGCCCAAGTTTTTTTTCCCCTGTTCTCCGGTTTCCCCCTCATCACATAAAACCTTATTAATGATATTGATTGATAATTATATTTCAGATATTTTGTTTACATGGTGGGTTATCACCATCAATAGACACACTAGATCATATACGAGCCTTAGATAGACTTCAAGAGGTTCCACACGAGGTAAAACATTATTTATTTGTACCTGGAGCAGGAAAAAAGATCATTTTGACAGTTGAATATTACAAGTCTTGTTTCCTAGAAACTCTGTTGAACTTGGTGCAGTGGATCAAGCACAAAATTATATATCTATTATAAATTGGCAGCCTTGTGTGTAGATCCTCCTGAAAATGTAACAATATTTGGTCTTATGGCAATGTCTGAAAAATCAGACTAACCAAAATGGTCGCAGGAGTAAATTATTAAAATTTAGATGTAGATAACTGGGTTAGAATTTTACAGTGCTTACATGTATGTTTCTTTTTACTTGTCAGGGTCCAATGTGTGACTTATTGTGGTCTGATCCAGATGATCGTGGAGGCTGGGGTATTTCTCCTCGAGGTGCTGGCTACACCTTTGGTCAAGATATATCAGAGACATTTAATCACAGTAATGGGTTAACTTTAGTTTCTAGGGCACATCAGCTTGTTATGGAGGTCAGTTATGATTTTGTTAAAAAAAAAAAGAATGTTAATTTGATTGAGTAGAACACAAATCATATTTTACCGTCACTAATCGACTCACTGCCATGTGTAATTCTACCATATGTATTATAATTTTCAGAGTAGCAATGCCCATTCCTTTTTCAACATTACAGCTGAATATAATTAATGACATAATGGCTGAATACTATCAGAATCTTTATTTGCATGATAATTTGCAATGCAGTTGCCCAAGTTGGATTTTAAACTATCCTTACTGCACTACTAATTGTATATAAAATCTGTTAATCGAAAGCTTATGTGTTGATTCCGTAGTATTGACTAATTGATAACCTAGAAATGTGCTTATACATGTTGCTATTTTTGATCGAATGAGTCAGTGAATAATGAGTTTATCTTGTGGTTTATCTTTACCTATTTTGTAGTTGCTTTTGATAAACTTGTAATGTATCTGTTTAAAGGGAGTGGTTCTGTCTTGTTATTATGACCTACATAAATGAATTATAGTATTGTTTTTTTATCTATTGAAGTAAGAGGGGGGGGGGCCTAATTGTTTATGATGTGCACACGTTAGATCATAAGGTCTGTCATTGAGTCAAGTGGCATGGTTTCGATTCACTGCTTGCATGTGACAAGGAGTAGGGTAGTCTCTATCATCCAGAAAAATATTCTACGATCCGTTGTCCACATTTGAAAATATTAGGTCATTGGCTCGATTATCAAGTCTTTCACATTATAAACAAAGGTAACTAGTCCTAAACCAAGATGTTTTTCGTCCATGAAATTAATTTTTTTAAGAATGCCATTCCAGAAAATCCATTTGATTGCATTGCTAGTTCAATATCAAACACTGTAAAAAAATTTATTGTAAAATTTCTTTCACCAGTAACCCTAATTCGTCATCACGATTCATGTTTGTTTATAATAATGCAAGAATTGTGGGAAGGGGTGCAACTCTTACTTGACTTAGCGAAAAATACGGGATAATCAACCACACGTAAAACCAAACTCCCGGTTACACATGGGCAATGGAACTTTTCGTCAAATATTGAGAACGGTCCCAGACCCTCCGTATTTTGAAGACTAGGAGGTTCTGGATGACCGAGACTGGAGTAGGGTCGTCTGTCCAACCTTGTGGGTTTTCTCTTGGTCTCCGGTTTCCTCCCACAGCAAAGACCCCTATGCACAAGCACACTAATGAAACAAAATTGAACCATGTTAGTCCGGAAATAACCTAGTGTGTGTTGAGTGTATGTTAAACCTCATTTCACTCTCTTATCTATCTATTGAAGTTATTGTTCCATTTACAGGGTTACAATTGGTGTCATGATAGAAATGTGGTAACTATATTTAGTGCTCCTAATTATTGCTATAGATGTGGCAATCAAGCTGCTATAATGGAATTGGATGATGCTCTTAAATATTCTTTGTAAGTATATCAATATTTTATTGAATTATTAATTTTGTTCATGTATATATAGGGGGGTTGGTTGGCTAACTGGTTCAAATGTGCATGTTTAATCGTAAGGTCTGTCAAGGCCTGGTTTCGATTTACCGCTTGTACATAACTTAAACGTACAGCAACATTCGATATGTTGTGCATGTGATCAATTGACCAATGCCTCTGAATCCTCCCCCTCCCCCCAAAGGTTTCTAAATTCCTTTATGAAATTCTTTCCTTCCCCCCACCCAAGTTTTACCTATTTAGATATGTTTTCTATTTGAATTAGATACTTGTGATTCTCTACGGAAGAACGGTTGATCCTCTGTCGAGATAATAATCAGTTGATGATCTGCAGAGGATTGGTCGTTCATGCATATTGGTTGTAATGGTACAGGAATTGTAGATAAACTTATAACTGTTATTAATAAAAGGGGCATTATTCTGAACTGAGATATTAGCTATTGAATTTTATACTAGTCTTGATCATAATTACTGAAGTCGGTATGATAAAAAAACCAAAGTCTCGATTATCCATTTTTATGTTTAATTATTTTTCCAAAAATGTATTCCAATCCACTTAATATCGTAGGCTAGTGATGGCATTGAGAGTTGATTATGGTGTGGATAAGTTAATTAATGTCTAATTAATAATTTAGATAACATTTCAGAGGTAAAATAAAAAGACCTGCAATAGGCAGATTTTAGCCTGTATGGTTAAGTATATTTTGAAATTAGATACGTACAAACTTGTCTTTGTAGAAATAAACTGATTTATATTTATTTTTATATTTTAATTCAGCTTACAATTTGATCCTGCTCCTCGTCGTGGTGAACCACACGTAACACGCAGAACACCAGATTATTTCTTGTGAGGTGTTATAGTATCATAGAAATATATATGTTCATTCAGTGACTGACATAATGTTGTAGTCGCTGAGTAAAGACGGTGATTAGAGACAGTTTTGTTTCGTTTTCCCTACTAACAGAGAACAGTTTGGAGAAATTTTTAATATACATACATGTACGTAGCCATTGTATAAAGACACTTGAATGTGCTTGTGTACAGTTCACCATTTACTTAGATTTAAAGAGGATTTTCGTGATAGGAAGATTGTTGAATACTTTTTATGACAGATAATTTACTGTAAATAATGATACAGTGCCAAGTATTAAAAGTATATAATAAAAAAAATTATATCGATATAATTTTATTTTCATTTCTAAAACACAAAAACAAAATAAATTAATCTTTACCATTGTTTTCTAATTGATCTGTTAATTAAATATTGAAATGTTTGGACTTATTAATCAAATATCTTTCTATGTTTATAATGTATGATATTAATATTTCATGTAAATTGTAATAGTAAAAAGCGGTAGGCGTGTTACACACATGAATACCACGATTGCTACAAAAGTTTTATGATCAAAATGACGCAAACACACATTTTTTCTTTTAAATAGATATGGACAGTTTCTTTGAACAGTAATAATTCACAGAAATTGTCCATATTTGAGGTATTTCAAAATAGTTATTCACATTTTAAGTTAACTATAAATTATTGTATTAATTAGACTTACGACAGTATTGTACATATGCAGTGTTTAGAAACTTCATTTGTTGTATATTGTTGTAATGTTTAATGTATTTTCTCTGCTTCAGCAATGAATGTCAATTAGAAAAATATATTGTAACTTCTGTAAAAAAAAATTTTTCTTTCATTGTCCCCATCTTTTACCTAGCCGGATGTTATAAACTGGTTATAATGTCCACTTGTACAATAAATTATTAAATGTATTCTTTGTTAATGCTTGAATTTGTGAGTTGTGGTAGTAAGACGATATAGAATTAAAAGTCTGTGCATTACCATGTTTTTATTAAGTATAGAATGAATAAAAACAAGGGAATGTACAGGCTATTTCTTTTGAATTGTCAGATATCCTCTCACAGTCTCATAACAACTTGTCATCTTCCAAGGAAATATCAATGAGCAGAAATTTGACTGTGTATCTGTTATCGCTCGTTACTTCAGTCATTATATAGAAGGATAACTCATGTTTTCTTTTTGTCACTTCAATTACGCATCTATCATAGCAATGATCTCTGTGTTCAAATTATATTTGGAATGTGTTTAATCAGTTCTATCACATATGTGATAATGGCTGACAACAATATTGTCTTTTAAAATGGGTTCATCTGCCTGTCCGTGACACCTCTTGGGATATATCTGCTTCTAATTGACCTAGAGCCTTTACTTAGCTTTTTTGTTTAAGCTAAGCAGCGACAAGTAAGTTCATTGGTCAAGATTTTGCGACGTAAATATCTCTGTGTCTAACTGTAATATGTTCAAACTTGATGTTATGTAGATGACCCACTTCGATGTCTGTCTCACCTTTTTGAACACAATAACTTGACTTCTTATTGATTTAGGGTAGGACGTTAAACCCCATTTCATTCATTAATTTAGTATGTTCAGACTTGGGTGTTGATGTTAGTTATGCGAATGTCTTAATGATGAGCAGAGAGAGAAATTGGGTTTAACATCCACTAACACAAACTAGGTCATTTCGGGACTAACACTTGGTTCAATTTTATTTCAATAATTCGCTTACGCGTAGGGGTCTACAGCAGTGGGAGGAAACCCGAGAAATCCCACGAGGTTTGACAGGCGACCCTACTCCTTGTCATGGTGAATCGAAACCACGCCAGTTGACTCGGTGACAGACCTTATGATACAGTGCTCGTGTGCTAACCATTCTACTTAGGCTAATGAGGAATTTGATTGACCAAGACTTTAATACAAAGTAACTCTGCTTCTAATACCTCACATCAATACCTTAAACTAATAATATAAGCTTGATAACAGTGTTCTTAATTGGCTGTTTTTTGTCGGCTTTAGCCGATTGATGTTTAATCTAGCCGATTGGTAAAACAATGAACCGGCCACTATGGTATCATAAATCAATCTACTATCGGCTAAATTTCATCGGGTTAATTATTACATGTTAATTAAGTAGTCAATCAACTTGCTTGTCGGCTACAACAGCCATACCTTAGTCCTTAGTGAGAATCAGCCACGTGGTTAATAATCGGAGTAGCCTAATTAGCACATTTAACGGTAATTTGGATAAAACATGCTTGCTGATTATTCATAACCGGTTCAGTAAGCTGCTTTTGTAAACATTCCAGGTACCGGTAGATAATAAAATAATAAATGGATCATACATTGATGGATTCACTGACCAGTTGTTAGGTAAATTTATATCTTCATTGAGTATAATAATGATAGAACACGGAATAGAGAAACAGTCATTAATAATATATTTTTCCGATAGAATGTCCAATGCGGAATTCCAATGACATGTGACATATCGCTTGGAATTGGGTCAATAAACCAGTTTTAAATAGCGTTTACCATTATAATTTTGTTTATTATACACACATAAGGTTATTTATTTTAAGTTGAGGCCTGCCCATACCTTTTACCACCCACCTTAAAAATAAAATCATCTTTTGAAATTTGGGATTGATAATGTATTTATTGTTCTCATCTCAACAAATTTAATATGATGGGTGTACTTGGTAATTCTAATTCCAGTTTTACTCCGTCGATGCCCTTAAAGTGTGGGGTTGTGGGGCTTTTAAAAATGGGGAATTTTACCTGGACAGCAACATTTCCATCTTGTCTTCTTTAATTTCCAATTGTCATGGCTTTATAACGTCTGTGCCAATATGTACACGGGTGAACCTCAGTTTTTGTCACATCCAAATCTGGCACACTTTTCTTGAAGCAGCTGACTGACCCAGCAAGTAAAATTCTGAGAGATACGAGACATGAGGACATTGACTACCACAATGCCCCATGTCTAATATTTAAAATTAAATACCAGGATGTTTCTTAATTTTTATTAATTAAATCTCTGTATAACAATTTTACAAATAAAACATTTTGATTTACACATTAAGAGCATACATTAGTTTTATAGTTTCAAATTTCAGAATTAAAATCCTATTATATGAAAAATCTTAACACCGGTATGTACAGAAAATTAACGGTATGTACAGAAAATTAACGTATATAATAATGTATTATATACTTGCCAGTTTAAGTAGAAATATGCTCATAAATCAATCGTATACTTTCTAATACAAAATCAGTTTTAAAGATTGTGACTAACACCGTTACAAAATATAGTTGACAAATTGGTACCGGTAAACTGAATGACAATTACCAGCATTATTCAATATTTGTACGAAAGTAATTTATTTTATATTAACACATCAATAACTTACAGCATCTACCCTATGGTAAAGTCTACATTTAAATTAACATGTCATCAATAATGAGTACTACAATAAATTGTATGCAACCAATTGATGTGACCAGTATTAGTAATCTACAAAATGTGCCTTTATTGTAGCTGCCTACATCAACCTTACTGTGGTTCAGTTGAATGCAATGTTGCAGATCTATATTTACAATCTTGATTGGCATCTGACCTTATTACCATCATGAACAAACTATAATTACATTCCAACTGAATCACTTGGTGGCCAGTTTTATATCAATTTAAGCTATGTGTGTTACATAAAATGAATACTTGAAAAAGGTATTATAAGGTCTGTTGAAGGCATATTTAAGGAATATAGGCTGGTGGTTTCTGTAAAAGAACAAAGAGAAATAATAGGTTCATCATCTAAGAAATGTGTTCTGTACTGTAGCAGCTCAATTGCCCTATGAAACAGTTGATTTATAGTCTTACTATGTTCCCCAAATATGTACACTATTTTACTGTAGAAAATGATGTCGATAGGGTGGTCAACACTAGTTCTTTAGGAACTGTCTGAGCGAACTATAGTCGGATCAGAGACAGTTCCTAAAGGAACTAGGTCAACACATGCTTATATTGTGACAAAGTGCTCAATAATTTTCTATCTTATAAAATACAAACTTTTATTTAGATGCAGTGAACTTATTGACCCCCAGCTGGATTTGATAATATATGATATTGGCTTTTTATACGCCCAAATTGAAATGTGGTCGTATATAGTCGTCACCCCCATCCGTCCGTCGTCCACAAGCTCTAGACGCTAAAGTTAATATCCGATTGATTTTATATACACAGTGTTTAAGGTCATGAGACGAAAAAGCCTATTGATTTTCAGCGATTTCCGATAATTACTGCCAGAGTTATGGCCCTTGATCACTTTGAAAAATCTTGTTGACGCTCTAAGAGCCTAAAGTTAATATCCGATTGACTTTAAATTTATACAGTGTTTAAGGTCATGAGACGAAGAAGTCTATTAATTTTCAACGATTTCCGATAATTACTGCCAGAGTTATGGCCCTTGATCACTTTGAAAAATCTTGTGGACGCTCTAGAGGCTAAAGTTAATATCTGATTGACTTTAAATTTAAACACAGTGTTTAGGTCGTGAGATGAAGAAGCCCAGTGATTTTCAATGATTTCCGATAATTACTAGCAGAGTTATGGCCCATGATAACTTTGAAAAATCTTGTGGATGCTCTAGCTAGAGAAAAAGTTATCATCTGATAGACTTTAGATTGATACACAGAGTTTAAGGTCTTGAGATGAACCAGTAAATTGATTTTCAATGAATTTTGATAACTTGAACAGCTAAATCCATGATAATAAACGTTTCGTATACTTAACGTTTAATGGGTCAGAACTAAAAGGCAAACAATTTTTAATGATTTTCGGATTACTTAATGAGCTGTTACTCTTAATCAGATTTTAGTTGATTATAAATTCTAATGATTCTCTGATAATTACTTAATGAATTGTTAATCTTAATCTTAATCAGATTTTAGTGTATTATAAATGTTTCATTACCGACAATAGAAAAAAATATGCGACAACTCTTGTTGACTGCTCGGAGGACTTTGCTGCTGTGGGCATATGTTTCACTGCCTGGTAACCTATCTTCAACTATACACTTTGTTCTAAACATGTACGCGCTGTGTTGTAATTAAGGACTTAATCAATCCCATATGATCCGTGTACAATCTGTCGCCAGCTAATCTAAACAATTCCATACAGGATGAGGACTTGTGTTGTGAGACTCAATTCCTGTTGTTGAAAGGTATATAACCACAAGTTTACTGAAAGTTAGACAAACGAGGAGGGGAGCGGGGGGAAGAGGGGCACATAGACCGACATATGGTCTCACCCGAGTTCAGCTGCTGCCATGGCAGAAGGGCGAATGGTTGTAATACAATTATGCACTATGTTAATATTATTATGTCCTGGTGTAGTTTAGTTCCTGTTTAATCTATATTCCTGTTTATATTTACAAAACTGATATTCTGTTATGGATGTCGTGACTTTGAACCTGGAAATTAATCGTCACAACAGCATGAACTCCTTCATGATAATCATGGGCCAAAGATTGGCAATACACAATTTGATGATGTGGAAATTCATAATTAAAGGATGGAAATAGAGAAAAATCACCAAACACCGGGAAATCACCTAAAACTGCAAAAGACTTAAGCATAACCGCAGCAGAATAGCGGGGAACAGAAATTTTGTTTTAAAGGTGAGTCATTTTGGTTTTAAAAGAATGTAAATTATAATTGTTTGTTTTTGAACACACATTTTGGTTTTTAAAATGAGTAGTAACAAAGTATTAAGAGGTTTATATCGAGAAATAAAATATTTTGTGAATTTTTGGCTGGAATTGAGTTAAGATTATCTTAATTAGAAAGTTCTTGAATAGATTTTTCACTGTCCACCAAAATGTTAGTAGTGAAGATATTAACTCATAAACATTCACAAAGTATTCACGTGTGTATCTCCTAGTTGTTTTTTTGTTTGTTTTGTATATACCCCAATATTAATTTGAGATATTTGTATTCCTATTAAGAGGAATCAGTTATATACCCTCAAGGAAGAAGTGTGGTGCTCAAATAAGGAGCGAATGTGATGTTTGTTTTGTGTCTTGTTCAGAACTTAGAGAGATAAACCGTTTTTAATTTTGAAAAGTATCTTATTTAAGATTGGTGAAATGAGTTCAGATCATTCATTATCATTTATCTCAAGCAAAAAACAATCTGACAGAGACCGGTGTATGGACTCACTCAAGTTCAGCCGCTGCGGAATGGTTGTAATATAGTTATGCACTATGTTAATGTTATTGTTTAGGTCCTGTTTAATTTATGTTCTTATTATTATATATTCCTGTTTTATATTCTTGTTCCTGAGGTAAATAAATTTACAAAGCTGATATTCTGTTATCACTAGTAGTGTTACAATATCTTGGCCTTATTTGGAGCAATCCTAGATGGTTGGAGTATTTTCAGAATTGGATAGAGATGGAGGACTGCAGAAGTCACATGACCTTGTAAGAAATCTTACATATCTAATCTACATTTATTATAATCAGATAGGTCCTTCCTTATCTTGTACTTGACACACTGTAGTACTTTACTTTTAATTGTGTATGGTCTGAAACCATATATTTGTTGATATTCTGAATTGTTTAATAATTCATTAACTTGTTAAATTACCTCTTGGTTATATGGTGGGGGTTGTGGTGCCGTAGCACCAATCTGGTGTTGTTGTGCTGGATATGCTGGTGGTGCTGATACTACAACTGTACCATATGATGGTGGGTAGTCTTGTCTTATTGTGACATACTGGGCTCGGTATTGTCTTCTTCTATAACACCAACAACTACAACTTACAATCAGTATGAAAAATGATAACCAAATCAACCAAAACCCTGGAAATAGAAATAAACAACTATTAATGATTGCATGGGTTATCTGCATGACTACCCCCAGGGATGTGGTTTCAAAATTTAGCTACTTTGCCATTTAGGAAATAAGGTCAATAAGCTTCCATTTTCTTTGAAAAACTTCAACTACAAATATTATGTAGCACATGGTGTTCTGAATAATATTTATAATTAGTACAAACCAGCGGCTGCCAGGCAGGATACACCCACATTTTTCAAGAGATGGATAGAGCACAAGCTAAAAACAAAAACGATTTTTTGAACAATCAGGGCCCATAATCCAGAAAGTTTGGGTCTGAAATGCGCAAATATCAAAAGGGACTGAGATTTTTGGAATATAAAGATATGTTTTAAGTTTTATCAAAATCGGATAAAAATTGTGACCTCTAGAGGGTCCATAACCTTTGTATTACACACTTATACTTTTGTGTACAAAGAGCAGTCATTTTGTTGGGATGGCTCGCTAAGCTTGGAGGTCGGGTGTTCGATCCCTGCATTGGCCGTGTATACATTGGAATGCACGTAAAACAGTGATGGGATTTTGCCCGTTTATTCCGGACTTGTCCGAATCTTTTTTCCAAACGCCCAAAACTGTCCGACCGGGACATCAATGGACATCAAGACATGGTGAATAATATTCAAAATTCCGAAATTAATATAGTTTACTGAGTGTATAACTACCACTCAACCAGATTATCCTCGATAATACGCTGGATTATTAGGTAATTAAGTGATCAATGTATTTATCGTGTTATACGGTCTATAAACCTACCTTGATTAACTACTTAATCTGCCTTGATTGACTGACTTAATCCTTTGTCGGACAAAGCCCAGTATAGGAGCAGAACAGTAGGACGTTAAACCCCATTTCATTTCATTTTGTCGGGCAGTTTGATTTCGATTTTCCCGAATTTCGAATTCAACCTTTATTATGGTGGAATGGTGATGTATTTAAACGGTTTTTAAAATCGGAAAAAATTGTGACCTCTAGAGAATCTGCAAGCTAAAAATGCGATTTTTTTTACAATTAGGGGCCATAATCCAGGAAGTTAAGTTTGGGTATCCGCGATTATCAAAAGGAACCAAGATCTTAGTGTGTAATGGTGATATATTCACACGTTTATTTTTTAAATCAGATAAAAATTGTTCAATCATTGGCCATAATTCAAGAAGTTATGATATGATATGTGCGAATATCGAAAGGCACCAGTATCTTTGGGTTATAAATATGTATTTCAAGTTTCATCGAAATCGGATCAAAATTGTGACCTCAAGAGGGTCCACAACATTGATTTACCAGATGTTTACACTATTTGCGTACGAGGGGTGGCCATTTTGTCTGGCAGTTTTGGCCCGAAATTCGGACTCAACAAACATTATGGTGTAACGGTGATATATTTGAACGTTTTTTTTAAATCGGATAATAATTGTGATCTCTAGAGGGACCAAAAGCTAAAAACGCAATTTTTCGTACAATCCTAGGTCATAATTCAGGAAGTTACGATCCGATACGAACTGAGTTCTGTGGGTTATAAACATACATTTCAAGTTTAAACCAAATCAGATAAAAATTATGACCTCTACAGTGTTCACAAGCTAAAAATGTGATTTTTGGTACAATCAGGGGCCATAATCCATGAAGTTACGGTCATGCCAATATCGAAAGGAACCAAGATCTTAGGGTGATAAATCTATATTTCAAGTTTCATTCAAATCGGATAAAAACTGTGACCTGTAGAGTGTCCAAACAAATTGTGGATGGACGGACAGGGGCGACAGCATAATACGGCCACATGAAAATGTCTTTGTTCAACATATTTTGACAAAAAACGTAATTTTTTAACGATGTCGAGAAGGTTAAAGACTGGCAAAATGGTTGAATATGTGTAATTAATTATTGTATTCTCTTCCTAAAACGCTTGTAAGTCAGCTACAGAAAATCCAGAATAAAGCAGCTTAAATTGTATCTCTCACCAATCCATCTCACCATATTGCACCTGTTCTAAAACAGTTACATTGGCTAACGGTTAATCAACACATCATTTTCAAAATTAACACAATCACTTTCAACTGTTTAAACGATCCTTTGGCACCATCCTATTTATCTAATTTGATTAAACAATATGTACATTCTCGTTCCTTACGTTCATCTCATAAAAAACAACTTGCATGTCCAGTACAGAAGTCAAAATTTGGTGAGAGAGCTTTTGCATACACAGCACCAAAAGAATGGAACAAATTGCCTCTGGAAGTCCAAAATAGTCCAAACTTGGCTATATTTAAACGACGTCTAAAAACCCTGTTTTTTACCCAACGTTTGAACTATAATTTAAATGCTTCACTTTCCATTTGACTATTCCTTTGTATTCTTTTGTTTATTTGTATATGTATGTCTTTTATAATCATATCTACATTGTAAAGCGCCACAGAGAAGTCAGACTAACTGAATGTTCAGCACTATAGAAAACGATTATTATTATTATTATTGAAATTTTTATGAATGATTCCTCCTCGGATTATATCGATGAAACGGATTCCAAAGACTATATTTCTGATGAAAATAATTTAGAAAAAGAGAGACAAGGTGCAAATTATAGATTAACTTATCCTCTTCAACTTTTTAATTGGTGTCAAGAGTCTATCACTTATACGTAGACTGGTTAAAGGGTTAAGATTAAAGGAACCATTCCAGATAGGCCTACAATTTATTAAATCAAATGGGTTAAAGGAGCTAAATCGCTAACATTTGGGACCTAGAAATTGACAAAAGTGGGTCGCAACGCATATAATACTGTAATATGAATGTATATAAACTGATTTGCATTCAATGGTTTCCGTTTTTACTCCAATTTCAAATCAGTTATGTTCGGCGAGTGCAAATTTCTAGCGTCTGGTTATTCCAGTCTACATACGCCGTTTGATTTGGTGCAATGTGTCTAGCCTCATCTCTCGAGTCTCTTTAAACAACTGGGACTGAAGCGCATTATGTTACACGAATCGTAGTAAAATGTTTATTTTGTCTTAAATATTGAATATTAAAAGCCCATCTTTTTCCGGTAAGATCACAACATGAATGTTGATTTAATTTGACAAATAATTCGTGTTTTCAATGTTGAAGATTTTGGATGATATTGAGTTAGAGACTTAGCTCCTTTAATTCTGTAAATATTCTTAGAAACTTTTATCAGAAGTTTGGTGTGATAATTCCAATCAGACACCTTATAGGTGTATTCCACAATAATTAGATAACCGTTTCGGGGTTACAGAAATATACTTACACCAAAATTGATACACAGAATAGTCACAGCATTCATCATTCAGAACTCCACAGCAGTAAGATGTCCATCCTAATCAAAAGAACAATATAGGGTAACTTAAACATTAAAGCATATTCTAGCTATAAATAACAATGAACTGAAAAATATAACCCTATATTCATTTATATCACTATTCAATTATTGGACCAGGAAGTTATGGTCCCCAACGCCAATATCCATAGCAAATTTATAATGAATTCAGCTGTCTCTTTATGTAATGGAACAAGTATAAGTATTTTACAAAATAGTTTAATTTTTATTATGTAAAATGAAACATACCATAACAATCCACCATTCCACATTGTGCATAAGCCTGAAATATACAGATGGACATTCAATATCACATAGATACGACTTAAAAACATATATATTCTAAAATGCAACAAAATTTTAGCAAACTATTTCTTTTTCTATGTGAATCTATGAATATACTGAAATATGAAATAACCTAAGAATAGTCTGGGTATATCCAAAATCTAGAAATGCTGCAGCAACATGAATACTCAAAAGGCATAGTGGTACCCCTTTCACTCTCTAACCTCTAAAATACTAAGATTTGTCTCCTACTCCTAGTCCTATACTGTGGGCTGTCTGAAATAGGTATAAATGAAATCATTTCTTTGGTGGACATTTAATAAAGTGTAAAATTGGGTCATAAATCCGAGTGGCTGTTGCATACCAGGTTTCCTTGAATTTGTTCTCTTGGACTCTTGTTTTAAATTTAAAGTATTAATAAAAGTGAATCGCCTCGATGGCATCACCTTTCACTAGTCAGATGTTGTTGTTCATGGCCATGGCATAATTTTATAATTAATATTAGGCCTATGATATAAAATCTAATAAATACCTCAATTGGCACAGCAATATAGGCTAATACTAAAAAAATAACGTCAATCACATTTATCACCATTTTTATACAGTTAACAACCACTGTCAAAGCAAATATTAACAATATGAAATTATGCAATTATACTTTGTCACATGAGTTAAGAGTTATGTTATTTAATTAACGCATCACGTGATTGTAGATAACTCTATCTGACAAATTTGGTAGTCTGGATACAGATCACTAATGTTTTCTTATTGACTTTAATGTTAATTCTCGTCTCTTAGCCCGGCTCTAACTTTTCCCCAAATTTTCGTTGGGTAGAACGCTTTCTACCACAGATGGGGCAACATGTGGCAACCTCTTGCCCAAAAGCACTTATAAGGTTCATCATGAAAAACTTGAGATACACAAACTGGAAGTAGAGAAAACATGCAATTTATCGCCCTACATTTCAACCTAACAACCTCTTAAACTCTTCTATCCTCCCGCCTCAAAATCATGAATATTTACCAAAATCAGACAGAAAATGTATATTCAAACCCTTTTCTTCAATTCTACACCAAAAAGTCAACCAAGATCGCCATGCTAAAGGGAAAAAAAGAGAAAGCGCGGGGGGGGGGGGGAGAGCCTAAAACTAGCTTTGGCCTTTAGTGACTGCGTAGGAATAATTGGTGAGCTGTTGTATGTTTGAGATACATTTGGGCCAGCCTAGATAAAAAAAGGGTTTTCGAATAAAGATCGTTAACCCCCCCCCCCCCACACACACACACACACAAAACTGCAGCTCCAGTTTGATGGAGTGGAACTGGTGATTTCGTTGTCCAAATCTGACGATAAACAAATGAAATTAGGAACAAAGCCTTAATGAAGGCGGCATACGCATTGCAGTGTGCAATGGGGAAAATTTTGCTCGATAAAGATGGAGGACTGGTGTTGCAATAGCTAATAAACCTCTCATTGGAAACAAAAATGACCCGTAAAAAAACGCACCACTAATTATGTCCATGACTGGTCTCGAGTGTTAACACCATCCACTGCAGCAGGGGCTTTCGTCAGCTGGAGGGCCTCCAGAGATTAAGTGAAAAGTTATTTCAATTGTTGGATCATTTCGTTTGAAAAAAAAATTAAGCAAATCAATTGTGTGAATTTTAATTATTCTTGGCTTTGAAAGAATTGTTATTTTTGAAAAATATTACTAGGGAACCTCGCAGTACCTGTAATCCAGATAGAGACAATCTTAATCGGACGCTAAGAGTAACGCAGGTACTTCGCGATTCACAGAGCGGAAAAAGAACGCTTTCCGCTACTGCTTGGTCACCTTGATAGCTATAATAAGTACATGAGGATGGCACCACACATAAACCCGCGAACAAGATACATGTACACAATAAATACACATACATTGAAAGTCTATAAACAACACACGTACATAATACTATCAATTAAACTGATCCCGCGGTCAGGCCCCGATTTCACAAAGCATTCTCAGACTTAAGTTGAGAATTTGCTCAACTTTCAATCACTGTTTAGGACAAATATCTTTGATCCAAAAACACAAAACTTTGCACATAGTTTCTTATTGATATATCTGATACATTCAAACAACAAAATTATTATAAAGGGCTATATTTTAGTTAAAATAAGGCTAATAAGTTTGAGTAAATTCTCAACTTAAGTCTGAGAATGCTTTGTGAACACGGGGCCTGGTAAATCCAGACAGAACAGTATACATGTATATTGAAGAATGTTGATATCATCAGGCTCCCATGATAACGAAAGCCAACGAATATTCAGACGCCGAATTCAACGCATTGTACATTCAGCCCATGCGATGTGCTAAATAAAGATAAGAAAACAAATTATGAGAACTTATAGTCTGGGCCTAACGGTCCAGGAGCCTCTTATGGACTCCGGGACTCTAATTCTTCAATTCAGGGGCCTCTTTATTTGCCGTTGGACCTCTGTCATAGGTCCTGGAGTTCTACATCAAGTTTTCTCTCCGGATTTAACAGATCTTTCAGTTTACCTTTCGGAGATTTTCAAAAAAAAAAAAACAACAAACAAACAAAAAAAATACGGATCGAAGGCTGGCGCTTCCGCTATAATGCGCTACAGCTTATATTCGCCGAAAGATCACAGGCAATATATTGGTCGGTATAAGACTATAAATAATATCTGTAGTATGTTGGGTCAATAAGCTTCCCGTAAAATCAGAACTATTGGAGAGCTAAAAATAATTATGAGAACAAGTTTATAGCCAAGTCCATCGACCTCATTATGTAATCCAAATAAGTATTAGTCGACACTAAAACGGCATTAAACACCCTTAAAAAGGACAAAAACATAATAATTAAGAAAAGCGACAAAGGTTCGTGTTGTGTCATAATGAATCGTGCAGACTATATCTCAGAGGCAGAAAAACAATTAAGTAATCCTATACATTACACTAAATTAGACCAACCCATCTTTAAGGACACCGCAAATTTAATAAACAACATCTTATATGAATTGCAGGATAAGGAATACATAACAGCAAAACAATATGATTATCTATCTGCTAAATCTGACTGCCGACAAAGACATCTCTATACACTACCAAAAATACATAAAAATCCAGAAACAGAATGGTTTATACCTAATAAAATACCCAAGGGACGCCCAATAATATCAGACTGTGGCAGCGAATCATACAACGTATCACAATATATAGACCATTTCTTATTACCCCTAGCATGCCAACACCCATCCTACCTTAAAGACACTAACGATTTCATTCAGAAAATCAAACAGTTAAGAGTCCCCGAACACACCGTTTTAATATCCATCGACGTACAAAGCATGTACACGAACATTGATAATAACACAGGTATTGAAGCAGTTAGGAAAGCATTTCTTAGGAACCCGCAAGCATCCAAGCCGGACGAAGAAATCCTCAAACTACTCAACATTTGTCTGAGGAGGAATGACTTCGCTTTTAACGACCAAGTATACCTTCAGTCTTCCGGAACTGCGATGGGAAAACGATTTGCCCCGAGTTATGCAAATCTCTTCATGGCGGAGTGGGAAAGGGAAGTTCTGCCACTCTGTCCATTAAAACCAGATTTCTATGGGCGGTTTTTAGATGACGTTTTCATAGTCTGGACCTACACAATAGACGAATTTTGGACGTTTTTCAACATTCTGAACAATCATCATCCATCTGTCAAATTAACCGCAAATGTAAGCCATAACAGCATAGATTTCCTTGATACTACCGTTTTTAAAAGTAACAACACCAAAATCACAGGCCAATTGGAAACTAAAGTATTTTTTCAAAGAAACCGACACACATCAATTATTGTTCAAAAGCTCCTTTCACCCAAAACATACATTCTCGGGCATCATAAAATCTCAGATTCTCCGTTTTCATAGGATATGTACTCAGAAGACCGACTTTGAGTCAGCATGTACATTGGTGTTTAGCAAACTAAGGGAAAGGGGATACTCCAAACGCTATCTACGACGTATAAAAAACAACACTCTAGCTGAGCTTGCCGCCAAAGAAACAAATAATATACAATCAGCACATAAAACCAAAATTTGTGGCCATCCAAGATGTCAAACATGCAAAATCTTAAACATATCCGACCATTTCCATAACAAAACATCTGGCACAAAATTCCCAATATTAGACCAACTTTCATGCAGTAGTTCAAACATAATTTATCTAATCTCATGCAGAAAATGTGACAAGCAATACGTAGGGGAGACTCAAAATGCACTTAGGGAAAGAATTAACGGTCACCGGTCTGACATAGTCACCAAAAAAGACAAACCTGTCTCAATTCATTTCAACCAACCAAATCATGACATTTCTGATCTCATTGTCAGGCCAATAGAAAAGACCAAGAGCGACTTTGAAATTTCAGAAGAAATTAAAACGTTTAGGCTAACAAGAGAAAAATTCTGGATTGACAAATTGAAAACAACAGCCCCCCTAGGTTTGAATATTCATACGGCTAGCGCAATAGCTCCTTTTGTAGTTCCATTTAGCGCAACAGCAGCAAGTGCGTCCAAAATCATCAGAAAACACTATACTGATCTCCAAGGAAATCACCCGAAAATATTCACACAGAAACTTATAATTGCATATTCTAAAAATAAAAATCTGAACGATATCCTAGTGCACAGTAAATTAGATTAAATAAGACCAGTCTCCACCCTGACCCAAAACAAACCATATATCAAATCCTATGCCTAACCGTTAGTAATTAAAATCAATTAGATATAAGAATCCCTAGCCGTAACCCGGTGATGTGGAACAAACACGATTTTTTTTAGAAAATCCAATCCGTTGTAGGAAACACACTAATGTGGCTCTCTCCCGAGAGCCTCAAATTTATTTTCTTTTTTCTTCAGAAACAATAATACCAGAATACCAGAAGCACCACCCAAGGAAGACCATCAGCGCCACCAACACCAATAAACAGTGAAATCGCCTTTGTATATAAATCTAATGTATTGTATGTATTTTAATAAAACTAGGAAATATCACGAACTAATTTTTCATCATCCTAGGTCAGTGCTTATGTGGAGACTTAACCTCTCCCCCCAAATTCTTAAACCTAGCCCACAATCCTCGACAACAATCATGTGCTCTAGCCCTGTTTATATCTTGTTACCTTGACGAAATCTGCAGGTGGCCTTAATATTTAGATATGACTCTATGGACAATGTAAGCGCCATATAAGCGAGGCTTCCGAGGAACAGAAACAGGATCAAAAATAACATTTATTGCATACTTATAAGAACCGGGGCAGCCTATGGCGAAGTTGAGGTTGAACTGAATAACCCCTATCAAGATGCTGTACACCCTGGATTCCCAACCTTTGGGTCGAGATCCGTTGCGAAGCGCTTTTCGTTGGGTCCTGGCAGACTAGTCTGAAACTTGAAAAAACAGCTACGTTTTCATGAAAAGCGTCTCAGATATATACACCTCTTGCCACATTGCCAATCGTCTTTCCTTCCTCACGCCCACGACCAGATGCTGGTTTCTGGAATGGGGTCCCTGTAAGACTACTGGTAAAATTTTTGCATTTTATATCAATAATAGCCTTATATTGTATCTTTAACTAATTATTGGATTCATACATTCTATAGAAGTCAGATCTCATGCACTCAAATAATGCGTGACGGATTTACACATAAAAGA